ACTTTACTTATATTTATCTCACATTTTTGTATTATATTATATATTATTAATAATAATATTTAAATATAAATATTTAATATTAATTTGCATTGGGACAAATTAAATATTACGAATAAACCAAACAATAAGATTCTACTGTAACTTCAAACGAAAATAAGAGTCGATATAGAATCTAACATAACAAAATTGTTTATAAACGTAATATGAATATTAATTTTATTCATGAATGATCTGGTAAAAGTATGATAATTTTCATAACAATCGAAAATATGCAGTACCACCGAGTTATTTCTTGCATTCCCACGTAATTTCACTGCGTTTTTTTTTATTTCTATTATATTTAAAACACATTCTACACATTCTTTGTGAATTTTTCTTTTTTCAGTTTCTCTTTGCAAGTGAAATATTTCTCGAACACTGTAGTTTTCTCTATTTTACGATATTTACATTAACAAAAAGAAACAAATAAATTTATTTATTTGAAATTTATTAATATATTAAGACAACAAACAATGTTAGATGATTTTCTACGTGAAACTTGCGCGTATGTATCCTATGGTGTAACCTTATTACACCATAGTGAATAAAGTTATACCTATTTCATGGTGGAACAATAACGAGTACCCTTAACATGAAATTTATCTTACGAGCGTAATCAAAGTATCCCCGTAGTCTTGTAATTTACAAAAGTGGCCGACAACAGTTTTTACGTACATTTCTACATTCCTATTTGTGTCTCTACGTAAAATCCTTCAAATAATAATAATAATAATAATTATTATTATTCTCGAAAATAAGGATACTTTCTTGTAGTAATTTTATTTAAATGTATGATACATTTACGTATCCGAAAAAATGACGTTATATGATTTGAAAATTTTCGTTTGAATTCTTAAGTAAGATTTTATTGAAAAAGGAAACAAAAAAAAAGAAACAATGACAAAAGCAACAAAAGAAATATATTTTGTACAAATTACTTGTTTCATTGTTCGCTCTGATTGCAGAACCATCGAGCTTATCGCACTGGTCGGTATTTCCTGTACGCTTTTTCTTTTTCTACACACGAGAGAATTGCATTCGCGTCTTAGAAAAATGGAAGTACGTTTGCAACCGGGAGAGGATGAACTAATCTCTGGGAAACAATTGTCATCGGGTAAGTATGATCATTTCATTGATTATCAATTTTAATCGTGTAATGGATTCCTTGTGATAATGGATTAAAACTTTTTGAGATATCAGATAGAAGAAGACAGGTTTAGTTTAGATATGCAAAACCCTAAGCATGGGAACCCATTTATTTCACACATTATTCCTACTTATACTCCATATTAATAAAATTAAAAAGAAAGGTAGGGGTTCACTTCTGGAATATAAAACCTGAGCATGAGAATCATGTTTTCAATTCGTCAACAAATGTGATGTCTAAATTGTTAATACTTCTTCAGAAATTCATATATCTTATTTTAGATGTAATTGAAAGAAATTAAAATAGGCTTAAGTACTAACAAAATACTAGAAAAGTATCATTTTGTATTCCCATCTCAATATATCAAACCCACGTAACAAATTTGGCCCCTAAATTCCCAATACTTTCTCAGAAATCCATATATCATATTTTAAACGTAATTGAAAGAAATTAGGATAGCCCTAATTCCAGGAATGGGTGCTCACAAAATACTAGAAAAGAATAATAAAGTATTCCCATCAATATGTCAAAC